ACAGGTACAAATTCCCCATGATTAATGTGATTAATATGTACAACAAATAATGTACTAATAAAAAAATAAAGTTTAATAAAAAATAAAAAATAAGTGGTATATATAGGAAAGAAGTCAAATTATTATTTGCAGATGACAACATACTCTCTATAGAAGACCCCAAGAACTCCACCAAAATCTTTTAGAATTAATAACTGAATTTAGTAATATATCAGGATACAAAAATCAACAGTTTCTGTAATAATGAATCCCCTGAGAAAAATATAGAAAAAAACCCACCACTCACAATAGCACCAAGAAAAATTAAAATGAAGTTAACAGAGCTCTACAATGAGAACTACAGTAGGCTGGAAAAGGAAATTGAAGAAGACATCAGAAAATGGAAAGATATCCCTGTTCCTGGAACCAATATAGTCAAACTTCTAAAACTGATATACAGATTTATCACAATCCCAATCAAAATGCCAACAGCATTCTTCACAGAACTGGAGAAAATAATCCTAAAATTCATATGGAAGCAGAAGAGACCTAGAAGACCAAAAGCAATCCTGGGTAACAAGAGCAAAGATGGAAGCATCACAATCCTGGACCTAAAGTTACATTACATTGATAAAAACAACATGATACTGGCACAAAAACAGACATGAGGGTCAATGGAACAGAAGAGGATGCATGAACAAACCCAAGCACAGTCAACTATTTGATCTTTGACAAAGGGGCCAAAAAACAGACTAGAGGAAAGATAGCCTCTTTAATAAATGGTTTTGGGAATACTGGCTATCCACATGCAGAAGATTGAATCTAGACTCGTATTTCTCACCACATAGTAAGCTAAAATCAAAACATATCAAAGAACTGAACGTTGAAATGGAAACACTTAACTTCCCAGGAGATAAACTAGGTAAAACTCTTGAAGTCATAGGACAGAACCCCAGTTGCACAGGAAATAGTACCAAGAATTGAAAAATGGTATCATATCAACTTAAAAGCTTTTCCATAGTAAAAGAAACAACCAACAGAGTGAAAAGACAACCTACAGAATGGGGAAAAAATTTGCCAACTATTCCTCAGGTAGAGGACTAATATCCAGAATTTATAAAGAAAAAAAGTAGCCCCCCCATCAAAGACCCAAATGAAAATGGGTAAATGAAATAAACAGGTACTTCATAGACGAAGTACAAATGGACAATAAATACATGAAGAAAGGCTCAACATCATTGGCCATTAGAAAAATGCACATTAAAACAAAACTAAGAGTCCATCTTACCTCAGAAAGAATTGCCATTATCAAGAAATCAAATAGTAACAAATTCTGGCAAAGTTGTGGGGAAAAATGAACCCTTCTACATGGTTAGTGGGAATGTAAACTAGTACAACATTATGGAAATCAGTATGCAGTTTCCTCAAAAAATAACTAGAAATTCCATTTGATCCAGCTATTCCCTTTATAGGTATCTTCCCAAAAGAGGGAAAGACATCACATTATAGTGACAGCACGCATACCCATGTTTACAGCAGCACAAGAAAATGTGATAATTACACGGAATGGAGTACTACTCTGCCACAAAGAATGATAAACTTGAGTCATTTGCAGAAAAGTCGATGTACTTTGAGACCATAATGCTTAGTGTAATAAATTAGACACACAAGCTTAAATGGTTTCTCTTACATGAAAAACTATAAATAAGGAGCAAAATAAAAGACAGATAAGAGGAAGTAGGGAGATAAATCTTTCTCAAGTGGGAAGGGGATCAAGAGATAGAAGGAAGGGGAAGAAGGGGAAGGAAAGGGATGAAAAAAGAAATTAATATGTAACAACATGTACATGTAACAACTCCACACAATGAATGTAAACATTGTACTAATAAAAATTACACATGTATTGCAAACATATACTAATAAAAATACTTAGAAAATAAAGGAGTCTTAAGACCAAAACAAAACAGCAAAGTTTTGTATGTATTTAGATGACCATGTAGGTTTTTTCCTCCATTGTAGTAATACGATGTTATGTTAATTGGCTTCTAGATGTGAAAGCAACCTTCTTTCCTAAAATAAATACCATGTAACTGTGACATTATTCCTCTTGTATGTTGCTAGATTCTATTTATAAGTAGTTTGTTTAGCATTTTAGTATCTCTAAGTCATATCAGCCTGTAATTTTTTCTGTAATATTTTTGAAATTGTTGTACTCAAGGATATGTGCTGGCTTCATAAAATGAGTGCAAGTGTTTTTTTCCTCCTCTATCCTCTTAAAAGTCTTCTGTACAGTACTGGTACTATTTCTCTTTTAAATGTTTAGAATAATTAACTGATAAAGATATCTTGGTCTGGAGATGTCAGTCTGTCTCTATCAGTAGTTTCTGACTGAGTACCAGAAGTTCTACATGATGTTATCTTCCCTACTGAGGAGTCAGTCTATCTGTCAGGTAGGAGAGAGTCAGAGCTTCTCAATTCAGTCAGGGACTGAGCTAACATAAAGTTTATTTGGTACCTTTGTAAAATTCTGTCATAGTTTTCTATTGCTGAGATAAGGACTTACCACAAACTCAGTAATCTGCAACAACATATATTTATTATTTTACTGCTCTGTAGTCTTAAAGTCTCATTCAGATCTCACTGGGCTGTAATCAAGGTGTTGACAAAGCTGCATTCCTTTCTGGAGATTCCAGGAAAGGATACTTTCCTTTTCCTTGTCTAACTTGAAGAGGCCACTTACATTCTTGGTGTGGGGTCTCTTCATTCATCTTCAAAGTCAACACTTTTACATTTCTCTGACCATTCTTCCATATTCACTAACCCTCCTCCTCTGCTTCCCTCTTCCACTTTTTAAGACACTTGTCCTTATACTCAGCCCACCAGGATAATTCAGGATAATCTCCAACTCTTAAGGTCAGTCATTACAAAAATAAATCCAAAATGATCAATGATGTATTCTTTTTTAATATACCAAGGTCAAAAAATTAGAACATCTATTTAGCTGCAGTTATTAGAACCATACTCAATCCATATTGATTTACATAGCACTTTTTGATATTCAGACTAGAATCATGTCTATACAATTTTATTAGTTATTAATATGGGGTTTCTAAATCATTGATTATCCTTAAAGTTTTTATTAGTTATTAATATGTGCTTCTTTAGGTTATTAGTTATCCTTAAAGTATTTATTAGTTATGAATATGTAGTTACTTAAATCATTAGTTATCCTTACTTAAGGTATTTATACAGCATTTCCACACAGCATTTGATTTAGTAGGGTATAAAATACAGTCCTTTCCTTGGGCAAGAAAGAGGTAAGACATTCAGGTTGGAAATGATATAAAACAGTAATGTGTGGGATGTAGAAAACAGTGCCATAAAATTAAAAGAGTCATTAACATGAACTCCAGAAGCTACAATCACTGATTATATGGAGAGACCTTAGGTAACATGTAGTCTGATACTTGAATGGTATAGCTGAAGAGACCTTTTTGCTTATTAACCTTATGTAAAGTAACATCAAATAAGCAGTAGAATGGAATTAGAACTCTAGTGTTCTGATTCCTGGTTCAATGTAGTTGTAAAATAAAAAGATGTGAACTTAAGAGAAGGGAAAAGGTGCATAAAGAGACCAGAAGGAGGAAACACAACATAATCAAGATGTGATGTAAAAGGAGATGAATACAGCTGTTTTGAAAACAGGTAGAAGCTACCGTTCATGGAGTAGGGGGTGAAATTATGGAGAAATCAGAATTGAGGCTGGGTTTAGATAGTAGGAATCAGGAGAGGGTTTGGGTATATGTTGAGGACCAGGCACGATATGTATAAATTGGTGGGGGCCAGGCCACAGGCTCCGCATTCTCAGGCCTGGGTTGACTTGCCTCAGGAGCAGACAAATATGCAAAAGGCTACAGACTTCCTGGCTGTGTGGGAAAGTAACCACAGGGCTCTTGAGGCAAATAGCAACTGCTGAGGACAATACAAAATGCAGGAATCTAGGTATGGGGAAGGACTTTAAGTTATTCCCTTTGAGTTTCTAAACTTGTTCTCTATTTTACTACCCTAGTCTTACTGCAGTCTCTGTTCCTGGAAAAGTACACTACCCCCTTCCCTGTGCTTCTTGCTGAATAATAAAAGCAGGTCCACCTTGGAGTTTGTCTAGCCTGTCCACTAAAGGCAGACTCCTCCCTGTCCCTCTTGTACCTTGAATATTGTATTGGTCTCTTTCTTTTATTCCCCATTGTCTTCCCTACAGGTATCTGGGTATCTGATCATGGCAGATATAGACATGATAAAATTCACTGTATAATAAGATTAATTCTGGAAAAAAACTTACTGTGAAAACAGGTTGAGAAAAAAAGTAAGGCAGGGAAACCAGTTAGTAATCTTGATGCAGCGATGGTGAGGGAAATAGAAAAGAGAAGTATGAGAGAGTTGGAAGGAAGATTTGCCAAGATTTCATGACTAAGTGGAAGTGGGAAAGACATTCAGTTTGAAACATGTCACGCTTGAAGGAACGACACTATATTTAAGTAAAAAGATTCTGTAGACAAGTAGAGAAACATGAGAGTAGAGCTCAGGGAAAAGATTAGCACTGGCAAGTTAAATTTAACCACATATCATAGAAACTATTATGCACTCTCTACTTTACTTTAAGTTTTCAGATCAATAGTGGCTAAGTCCAATGTTCTTCCTTAAATCAATAGCCCACAGTAGTTTTCAACTAGTATAATAGCTATCAGTTCTTGAGTATTTACCATATGCTAGTCATGTTTTGGGTACTTTACATATATCAGCTTATTTAATCCTCACAACTCTTTAGTAAGATGCCATTGTTGGTGCCCCTTTTGTAGTTGAGAAAACTGAGATATAGAGAGGTTTGGACATTAGCAACAGTCTATCTCTCCTTAACTACTACACTAGTTTCACATTTTGGCAAATAATCATACTAAAATGGTCTAGAATGAAATTCCCCCTTCATTCTACCAAGCAAACTGGAAAGGTTTTAATGTACTTACTTGTAATGTATTTGTATCCCATACTTTCAGAGTTTTATCAAATGAGCTTGATGTAAACATGCCTGTGTCATGAGGATACCACTGAACAGTCTCCACACTGTATTTGTGAACATCAGGATGGTTTCTACAAAACAGCAATCACAATTTAAAGATAATTGATTTATGTGAGATTCAAAACTGGTACTATATTAAGAACAAGTAGCAGTTTCAGTATAATATGATTTGTCACACCTAAATCACATTCTTATGTCCAAGCTGTCCAGGAGACAGGGAGAATGTCCAGACATCTCCAGATTTAGGCTCCTATAGCATTATGCGGTGGTTAGGCCCCTTCCTAAGGCTCACCATGTGGGAGACTTCCCATTTTTCTATTATGTATAGCCTGAAGGCATCAGCCAGCTACACTGGACTTATTCTGTTGTGCAGGTAGCAGGAGTTTGTCTTTATTGGATTCCTCTTTTAGTTTTGGATTTGTTTTTCTTAAGTATCTTTCTATTAGCACTCCCATTCTTAAAATTGTTGAAAGTCTCACCCACTTCCGTGGTGTCCCACACAATACCACTTGTTATTAGGAAACTTATACTATAACAGAAGAACGCACTTGGTGGATGTCCATGAGATTCACTAGTCCCATCACCACAGAAGTATGATCTGTTGACGAATACATTATGACATGAGCTATATTACCACACCAGGGGTTGTGCTGTTCTAAAGGATACAGTACATGCTTTGAACCAGTAATCGATACTGTACATGTGTCATGCTATTAAATCTTAATTCAAACAAATGAGCTTTTAAAAGATACTTACGAGACAATGAGAAAAATCTGACAACTGCTTGGATATTTAATGTCAGTAATTTTTGTGTATGTGAGACAGTGGTACTGTGGTTATGTTTATAAAAATCCTTTTTGTTTTAGAGATACAAACAAATAATTTTGGATGAAATAATATGCTATCTGGGATTTATTTCAAAATAATATTGAGAATAAACTTGTATGGGTAGAGAAGAAAAAAGATTACTTATGACTGATAGTTGGTGAGGTTGGGTAATGGGTATATGGTTCTTATATTACTGGCTCCTTTTACATAAAATTAAAAAAATTAATAGGATACTATACTCCTATGTAGACAGAACCATAATGGGTTTTGATTTTCAAGGGTGAAGCTCTGTAGCAGACATCCCTGCCCAATACTAGTGGGCTACAAGTAGCACCTGCTTCTTGCTTTCCATAATTCAGCTACATTGTTTTATATCAGGAGTCAGACCGAAGCTCTACATGACTCCAATGGGCATGTCAGATGGCGGACTGCTTGAGTATAGCTCTTCCCTCAATGGCTGCCACAGACATGTAGGCCCTGGTCTGTGAAGTGGCAGGACCCTGCTGAGTTACGTGCAGCTGAGGTCAGCGTGACCCCAATTAAAATCCTTTCCCCCGAATTAGGGCTTCTCACTGACCCAGTGGGTGGCTTGCTAATTGCACGCCGTACTGGTTTGTTCTATCCAATCAAAATAAACAGTGCTTACTCCCTAACGCCCTGCCTGGTGCCATCATGCCAGGTGTTCAGCAGTATTTCACTAGTTGCCTTCAAAGCACACCCTGCTCCCTATTCCTTCCCATGCATGTATTCAATAAACACTGGATGCGCTTGGGGGCCTTTGTCTTTGCTGCCATCAGCAGCACTGATCATCCCCCAAGACTCAGCTTCTCTCTGTCTTTTTTCCTGTCTGTTCTTTAATTCGCCTTGTGCTGTGGTGGCTTATAGGAGGCCAGGACCCATGGCAGAGGTTTCGGCAATGTCCCTGTCCTGGTTCCTTACAAAGGTCTGCATCACAATAGTAGGTAAAGAATCCTGAACACTTGTGGTGTTAACTGAAGGAACAAGAATGTGAAGCAAAGTCTTAAATGCCAGCTCAGGCTTTAAGACGGCTACAAAAATATATTGCCTACCCATATATCCTTTCTTCTTCTGCTATGTATATACTTACATATTTTAACTAACTTCCCATTTTTCCTCAGTTACCGCCACTATTTTATATAGGTTAACTGTATAGATAACTGTCCATAGATTGCATGATACTGACACAAATTCCTGTGAAAATAGTGGAACAACAGGCTTTATTTTGAGCTGGATGTGGTAATTAAATAGACTCAGGATCATCATCCTTTGTAGAGAAGGATGAATAATTTTTTATTTTTTGTATAGTGGACATTTGTGTAGGTTAGGCTGGAGCTTTTTTAAAAAAAGATGAGGTATATGACAAGAAAGATATATAGGGATGTTGAACAGCCAAATGGGTGGATAGCAGTAGACATGTGCCATTTTTTCTCAGCTGCTACGCATTCAAACTCCTATTTGGTGGGAATCCCCCCTTTTTTGTTGAAAAGCAAACCCCTGCCTCTTGGAAAGAAAGGGACTCCAGACACTTTCTTTTCCTCCTTTTTTGGACCAAGGAGAAGGATATATGTAAGACTCTGAGTTTTTAGGTCATAATGAAATCCCAAGGAGAGCCAGCCATTATTCATGGCTAGGGAGTTGAGTCTGTATTACTGACATGCAGCAAAACCCAAACTTAGTTGTTCTTGCAGTGTAACTTCTTTTCTGTTTGTTTTCTAAGTTTGATTCTCACATCTTCTTGACAGTTATGTGAGATACTAAATATCTTTCCAATAAATTTCTGCTTAAAATAAATAGAATCGATTTTTATTGGCTCTTGAGAATCTTGACTTCTATAGAGATTTTCTTACAGTGATAACACTTTTAAATAAAACCAAGCTTTAATGTAGTGATCATAAATAAAAGCTCATTTATATTTTAAAATTAAAGTTTAAAGTAGGACCAATATAACATTATTCTCTTACTAAGTAGGATGTTAATCTCATTCACATTTAATAATTTTGGTAGAAAACTCTTTTTATTGCTGAAAAACAAATAATATTAAGTATATCAACAATAAATATCCAAAAAGTCTAAGCCACATTAACCAAATAACAATTTTATTAAAATTATTTTTAAAAATTAGATTGTAAATTCTACTGATTGAATATGTCATTTTAACTCACTTGGTAAAGATGCTCACTATATGCCCATTTTCAAATTTAAAGTCATAGTCAGTAAAACAAGAGTGGCCACACCAAGCATTTTTACTTATGTTACATACCAAAAAAGCAGATCACATTCTCTCACGAGATGTAGAATATTTGAAAATACTATTTTTCTATATAACATATTAAAGTCAATACTAGAATGTTAGCTAAGATAAGGTAAAAAATGAATCAAATTAACCTAATTGTCTTATACTTTAAAATTCAGATTCTATGCGTAAAAGGCTGGGGAGGGAATGTAAATGGCCTAAGTGTATTACAAACCAACTTCCAGAGTATTTAAGGTGATATTTTATTCTACAATAAGCTTTCTATAACTAATATTGTTCTTCATTTACATAGTGATTTTATAGTTTCCAACATGCTTGTAAAAATATTTATCACAGAAGCCTTTTAAAAATGACAAGGCAAAAGTTTTCTGTTATCTGTTTCTTCTTTGAAAGAGTCTTTTTGGTCTGTGTTTTCTATTCTACCTTGAAGATAATGATATCATTACATTAACTATTGTTATTCGCTTATTATTTTGTTATGAAATTGTTTTATTTGTTCTTAAAAAGAATGACAAGGCAAGTAAAATTATCTCTAAAACAAACTAACCTGAAGCTTAGAGAGACTAACAATTTTTCCAAATCTGTATTTCCAACGAGAACTGCCAGAGCTAAGAGTCACTTGTAACTCTCTCTGCAGATATCTACAGACTGAAGTGCGAATTCTAGTGCTTTAGGAGCAGCTTTAATAGAGTGGTTGTTGATGTTAACGTTTATAAAATTTCTTTACTTGAATGCTTTCCTTAGCATTTATTCTCCATTCATGAAAATGTATACTCAATAGTTGAACACATTCAGGTGATGAGAAAGAATTAACTATCAGTATGGAAAAACTACCACAAGGTCACAAAAGAGACTGGTAAACCATTAAATAGAGAAGTTGAGACAACAGTTTTGTTTTCTTTTAAAGTTAAGCATCTTGAATAAGTAAAGACGTGTGTAGGGGGGTGAGAGATTGCCTATACATTTATTACATCTAGCTCTGAGTTGTTTTTTTCTATTAATATCACTTGGAAAACCTAATTTGTGTTTATAACTAGCTGAAAGACTCATAAATGAACCTTATTTTAACTGATACTAAAAACTAGTTATTAAGGCACGCTCTTTGGATACAGAACAAAAGACATAATCAAAAGCCTTAAAACTTCTTTTGAAAGTTGATACAAAGATTATTTTGGGGAAGCCACATGACTTTAAAAATAAATTCTACACTTGAATTTCAGTTATTTTCAAGAAAGTACCAAGGGATATCAATATAAATACATCATTTGAATAATTTCTTGAGCCATTCAGATAACTGCCATTTTCATGTTTTGCATTATATGCAAAAATACTCAACTGTTTGCAAATTTATGAATTACATTTTTCAATACACACCTGCCAACGGAGCACACTGCTTTACATGTGTAATAAGGTTGTCTGCTGGAGTTCTCAAGGTCATAAAGTACAATCACACCATCTGAACCACCTGATAACATGCTGATAATAAGAAAGTTCACAGTTTATCATTTTATTACTTCATTTATTTATGATGATATATATTATGGAAAGTTAATCTGCAAACATCCAAATGTATTACAATCATAAATACAGAGTTAATTCTCACTAACATGCACTATAATAAACTTCAGTAAGCTAAGATTTCTTAATATTTATAGAATAAGACTTCATCTTTGTTTTCAAATGAGAAAGGGAGCACAAGATGGAGTGGGGGAGAGAGGGGAGGGAAAGGGAATTTTAAAAAGAATCGAAAGAGCAAAACGCAAAATAGAGCTTTTGCAAATGGGAAGGGGACCAAATGATAGAAGCAGCAGGGAGAGATAGGAGGGGTAGAGGACAAGAAAAGAATTCAGATGTATTATGTACATGTTACCAACTTCCCACAATAAATGTAATCATTATGTACCTTAAACATGTACTAATAAAAAATTTAAAAAATTTTAAAATGAGCCTAAAAATTTTATAGTATAGAAAAATTCAATCAAAGTGAACATTTAAGTTTACCTTCATGATTCCAAAAAGAAAAGATGGTAGAAATAAAATGCCAAATGATAGTTTTTACTTAAGCAAGTAAGAAATTACAAAGTTATTTTAAATCTTAGTAATAATTGTGCTAAATAAAAATGGAATCAGAGACCAGCTATTAGTAATAGTAGCTATTTAACCCTGGGCACCTTATATCACAGGTCTAAACATTTCAACATTTGTAGAAAAGGAGGGCCTTTTCACCTAAATCACAAAGCCGATATGATAAAGTACCACGTTCCTTCTAAATACCTTCCTTCTTTCTCTTAGAATATATTCATTCCATTTTTTGAGCTTCAACTGATCACCTATCCATATGTATGTCACTCTAATAGAGTTGTGAACAAGAGAGGCATTGTTCCTGTCTAGAGTTTACAATCTAGTACGAAAGACAAGTAATACACATAAACACACAAATTGTTAGTTATACTTGAGATCACTGTGACTAACTTACTTTTATTCTAGTTTGGGGATTCAAGGTTAATTTCCTTGATTATAATATTTAAACTGGAGCCTGAGGAAGAATTGATGTTAACCAGACTGGTGTATGAACATAACAATCCAGGTTCATTCTAGAAACTGAAAGAAGGAACACATCACTGAAGAAGTATGGGAGAGTGGAGAGAGATAAGAGGTCAACAGGGGCCAGACCTCTCAGAGCCTTACTTTGGAGAGTAAAAGAGGTGCTAAAAGTAAATGATATAATTTTTTGGAAGAAAAAGGAAACATTTCTTAAACTTTTTTTTTTTTGAGCCGGGGTCTTGTTATGTAGTTCAGACTGGCCTTAAACTCACTATATAGCCCAGGCTGGTCTCAAACTCACTGAACTCCTCCTGCCTCAGCCTCCTGAGTGCTGTGATTACAGGTGTATACTATCATGCCAGGCCAGGCAACATTTCTTTACTCTAGAACTTGTCTATCTATTGGTAGAACCTATAAAACTATTCTATTTCAAAGATTTGTAAAACAATTTCAAAAAGTAAAAGTAACACATAAGCATATACACAAAACAAAAAGCTTTTACATTGATTGAACTTGTACAATATTATTATTGGGACTCGACATACTTTAATCAAGTTTTTATTTTTATTTTTTTGGTACTGGGGATTGAACTCAGGGCCTTGTGCTTGCAAGGCTGGCATCGGCACCACTAAGCTAAATCTGTGGCCCAATCAGTTTTTTTAATCTGTATCCATCTCTAAGACTTCATTACTTGTATATTTTTATTCTCTTAAACTATGTGTTTTTCAATGATTTTAGGTTTTTTTCATCAAATTGCCTGAAATCATCTTTGAATCTGAAATTGTTGCCACCTTTAATTAACTTTCCCAAAGGCTATAATTTCCCATTTAGAAAATAACAATAGGTGGTGCAGGATAAAATAAGTTTAAAGATAATTCTGCAAAATGGAGACTATTCTTGATTTTTCTTTTATATATTAAAATGTGCAAGTATTTCAGATTAAATATTTTGTTTCTGTTTTTATTTTTATTTCCTTTCAGAGTAACTTTCTTTGGCAGTTCGTTTTAAAGATAAAACTTTTCAAGCAAGTTCTCTGTATTATGTTTCTTTTGGATCAGATTTAAAGATTGTAAAATCTTAAACATTCTGAATTTTATTCCATTATTATGCAAAATATAAATTTAGGAGTACCATCAAAAGATTTTTCATAAAGGTCCAAATAAGGGGATCTCTCCCGATCAGAATTCCTTCTCTCTCTCCTCATAGTAACTTATTATCATGACTTTTATAGTAATCACTACTGTTTTGTACAGTTCATAGTTCATCATTCAAGAGTTGACACATCTCAGCAATTTCATTTACCTAGCCAGAACTTAGGGTAAAGCAAGTTTTCAGAGTGGTAACTGATTTTGATTTAACTATGTAATATAATAGAAAATATTTTTTTTAAATGGAACTAGATAAGACTGAGGAAGTAGATTCTGTATAGAAATTTTTATCATTGATACAAATGTTACCTGTTTTTCAGAGGAAACATTAAAGATAGCTCAGTGAATATGCCAAACTTAGTAGGTCTGCATTTTGGCATAATACAAAATGTTTTTGAATGTAAATGTAATTCCCATATATCAGTAACATTCTCATCTCTGAACTATCTATGACTTGACTTATGGGTGCCAAGAAACCACTATATTATCTAGAATATAATCTCATTATGCCTTTAAAAAGTGCATGTGTGAAATGTTGATTTTAATGTAAACCTCATAATTTAAAATTTAACATTTAAATTAAGTAGGTTACCATTTTCCAAATCACCTAAATATAATATATTGATCCAGTATAGAAAGTAAATTAATGTTAGAAATGAAGATTCACAGTTCACTCTTTCAGGCTTGTTTCACATTTACGTCTTTAGTTTTACAGATGAATTCAAATCTAAACAATCTTACTGCAGCATTATATTAATTAGGCAGTTTTCCAAAGATGGAGAACATCATACTAATCTAGTTGTGATGTTCTAAGGGTTCATAATTTATCTTTTGTTTTTTGGGGTTTTTTGGGTACCAGATATCAAACTCGGGTCCTTGCACTTGTGCAGCAGGCAGCAAAACCACTGAGCTAAATCCCTGGTGCAGTATTTTGTTTTTTAGTTATTTTGGTATCAGGGATCAAGCTCAGGCTCTTGTGTCATATGAGCCAATCAATATAAGGAAACATACATATATTGTTAGTGTTGTAAACAGTTAGTGCAGCCTGAAGCCTGAGTCTATCCAGAATGGATGTAACCAATTTTGACATCATGTTACAGATAACTAAGCATTGAAAAATAAACCAAAGAACCACAGTATACTCTACCTTTAACTTTTTGTACACCATGTTTTGTGGATACTTTCAGTTTTACCATAAGGCTGATATATTTCAATATTTTGAAAATATCAGTATTAATTTTGAGTTGGCAGAGGTAACTTAACCAACTACCTTTATGTTTGGTACTAAGAGATATAACTCTCAATAAAATTATTGAAATGCAAAAATAAAAAAAGAGTAGACACATCACTATCGTCACTCAAGAGTATACCTATGAATAGTAGATATCATTAAAGAATATACCCATGAATACTAGCCTTGCTTTAATTGCAAATACCACTCTACATTCATTTTTGATTCCCTCTTCCTCCATTTTCCCCTTTTGTTACAATTTATTTGTTGTAGAAACAAGATTATTTGTCCTGCGATTGCCAGTATAGACTCTAATGACTGAATTCATGTGTTGTAATTTAAAATGGTCTTAATTTAATGTGAGTTGAAATGAATAGTTACACCTACAAATTTATATATTGTATAAAGTACTGCTATTTGGTAATGTTGTTGCTGTCTGTCTAGCCCTTCTGGTTATCTGAGTTCATCTTTGGTAGACTGCTCATGAGAACAATACTCCCTGTATTCTTCTTATAGAAAATTTCTCTGGCTTTTTGAACTTGAAAATTGGTTTAGCTAGATATAAACTCCTTGATTCCTTGAGCATCACAGATTAAAAAATTTCAAAGTCAAGCGCCCAGAAGGAGGCTCCCCCGGTGCCATTCCACCAATCTTAGGGCAGAGGAGGTGAGCTACGTGGGCATCAGCAGCACCCTCCCCCACACCAGTGTGGAAATGAGAAGACACATAAACAAGTCTCAAAAACAGACTTTCAGATCACCTACAGCAACCCCAAAGGGAAAGGAGATGGAACAATCTGATACTCAACCACCTGGACTCCCTGAACTGGCAACCAAAGAGGATCTGGAAAAATTGAAATCAGAAATAATTTCTCACATAAAGCTGAGATTGTGCCCATAGTGCAAGACATGATTAATACATCTAGAGAGGACACAGATACAAAAATAGAGGAGCTGAAGAACATGTTGGAATCCCAACATAGGAAACAAATGGAATCCATTAAACAGATACAACAGATTTCTAAGAGATTAAAAACTCCATTTCAAGTTTCCACAGCAAAATGAGCCAATGTAAGGACAGAATTTCAGATATACAAGATAAGACTGCTATTAGTGACCAGGAAAAGAAACATTGCTTCAAAATTGTAAGGGAACATGAGAAATCAATCCAGCAGCTGATGCAAAGAAGAATAACATAAGACTGATTGGAGTCAACGAAGAAACTGGAGAGAGTGGAGATGACATAAAAAAACTGTTCACAGAAGT